TTAGCGAGCAATTTCTAAATTCATTTATCATGTTGCGAAAAATACTGAGGAAAGTATAAGTTACTCCTACCTGATGACCCCGTCTTAAATTCCCGTTCTCGTTGTTTCAGCATCAGAATGGCTTGTTCGAGATAGCAGGTAAAATTAAATCTGTAAAATTAAAAAAGCAGCACGAGGAGTTAAAAAAGTGCCAATATCGTTTCAGAGTAGGGTTTCATTAGTTCAGAGGCCAAGTAGCTGCAAACTATCCTGAACCTTTCGTTAACACACTTACTTTTTCGCCCCTTAGTTTGGCACACTGGATCTGTGAGGCCTAGAAACTTTCCTGATATGCCTTTACGTAAAATATCTATAAACGTGCTTCCAGTGTAGAGATATTACCATTTTGAGAACGTGCGAAAAATAAATTTGAAAAATGTATCATAACATTGTCATTTTCAAAATAGATAATTTAACTTATTAACAACCATAGGATCTTAATTTTTCGACTGGGACACTTTGACACACTAGAATGCCAAACTGGAGTTACGAGCGTCGAAGCTAAATTTCGACCCCGGTCGCGGCGAATGATTTCCCGCGACAAGGGCGGTTCTCGCTACCCCTTTCCTCTTCCTTTCGTGTTGCTCTTTCATTTTAATTCATTTTACTCACGGGAAAAGGCCTGATAAATTGGGTAACATAGTTCGAGCAGCAGTTACTCCGGAGAGCGACCCGGCAGCTCGCATTATGCCGGTGCGTCATGCAATTAAAAGGAAAGAGTGCGGTCTCACGAAGTTATCTAACTGGGTGACGGCGAGGAGTAACCGCGATTTACGACGCATCGAAGTCCGTCGAGAGAGCGGACCGTGGCTACCTGTCGGATCGAAAGAGAAGTTCAGCCGAAGTGAAAACGGAGAATGGTGTGCGATCTAACGAGCGCGCGCGATTCCTCCGCGTATCGGACGCGCGTTAATGCGGCGTTAATAACGCCCTCGTTTCATATCGCTCGTCAAATCGTGGTGTAACGACGTGATACCAAAAATAATACTCCCCTCACGGCGTTTGATTCGAGAGAGAATCGATACCGCGAGACGATACAATAATAACGATGATATTGATAAAATCAAACGAACTCACTGACGGATAGCGCGAATTATTCGAAGAAGGCGAAGGAATCGGCGGATGAAAACAGCGCGCCGATGTAGGGCAGAATCGTGGCGGGGTGAACGACACAAGCTCTCGCGGTAAGACACCGTTGCGCATCTGCGCAAACGTCGCGGGTATTCGCCTGCGAAGCTCAATAATTCGCCGCGAAATCTCCACCGGGGCGATCGTGATTGCAGAAAATCGGTCTTCGCGGTCGTCGCTTCGCCGACCGAGAGATTTCGACCTCCGTCTTTGAGAAAATTGCGTGTGCGAATTAACGCGAGCCCAGTGACACGACGTAAAGCGGAGAGAAATCGGTATTTCGCCCGGCGAACTTTTCAAGAATGGCGCTATCCTTAATAGCGCGAGCGCGCGGTTTTTGCCCTCGTAAAATTAATTACGTCACGGCAGCGCGATCGGGGAGATTCGCGTGAAAATAATATCCCGTCGTCAGGACGCGTAATCGCTCTTCAACGGCGCGCTTTTCTACCCTTCTCTCCGCCCGGCCGCTGTCTCTCTTCCCGTGTTATTATTTATCATTCATCCGTTTTCTGCGCACATCTCTCCCTTCGCCGCCGAGAGTTCGGCGTTCCTGAAAGAAAGCCGCACGCGAGCTGCGGAATATTTTATACTATTCCGCTGCGATTCATCATCACCCCGGACGTCTATTAATTTCAGCGATCGCACGACGGCTGCTGCGACCCTCTCTCTCTCTCTCTCTATTTCTCTCTAATCCATTCAATCTATTCTATTAAATCCATATATTCGCCGAGGACGAATCGGGCATCCGAGAAAATTCGCTCGTCGAGTCGCTCTTTCTCTCTCTCTCTCTCTCTCTCTCTCTCTCTTTTTCTCTTTCTCCGCCGAGGCGATTTTCTTCCGATCGCCGGTAAGTCGGAACAGGATAAAAGGGGGCGAAATAACTTCTGCGCGCCAAGATGATTCCGAGATAATTGGGCGGAAAATGCTGCCTGTAAACACGGTATCGAGACCGAGAAGGAGCCGAGGAGCACGTTCCTCTCCATCTTCCGCGTGTCGACGCGAACGCGCGCGCATCCTACGAGAAAACTCGCGGGAGCGCGAGAGGGAGGGAGGGAAAGAGAAAGAGAGAGGGGGAGGAGAAGGAGAGAGCGCATTTTCCGCGGCTATCGAAGGAGATATATTAAGCTAACATATTCTCGATGAAAAGAGAGAGCCGATCGCTCTCGCGTTTATCGCGCGCGTGTCTCGTCAGCTGGTTAATTAGTCGGCCGATCGTAGAGCGTGAAGCTCAGTCGGCGCATAGAATAAAAAAAGAGAATAAGGGGACACGCGACATCGATCGACGGATAATTATANTAAGATTCCCCCCCCCCCCCTCCTCCGGAGACGTTGTGATACTTAATAACGGGTATTACACGTTTTTCCGTTCGCGGCTGGGAGTGGAAAAAGCGTGACCGTCGAACCGGCCGACGGATTCAGCGGCGAAAGCTCGCGGCGAGCGCGTGGGCGAGGGGAACGGGCGAGAGAAAATGAAAGGGAGAGAAAATGAAAGGGAGGGAAATATAAAGAATGAAATTTCTTCAAACGTTCGCCGGCACACGTCGACGACACGATATGGATAGTAAGAGGTATCGTAAGAATTAGTCAATGAACGAACGTATAGGTCTGTTCGACCAATCATAAAGCATGCGTAAGCTGCGGGTGTTTAACTATAAGCATAGCTTACGTACGCTTTGTAATTGGTCGGACAGTTCCGTACGTTCGTTTATTGGTTACAACTCTCTCACGGTACGCCTTATGTTTACGATTACGGCAATCTGTGTGTGAACGCCTTTAATCCTGGTTCACAACCCTGCTTTAAAACGTAGGCGGTAAACAAGTCGACCAACCACGATCGATTATTTTTCTAATAAACGACCGTGATTGGTCCGATTTGCCTTCCGCTTCGAGTTTCCGAGCAAGATTGCGAATGAAGGTTCACGCGGGATCTACGCGCGATGCACCCCTTCTTCTGTTCGCGACGACGGAGACACTTCTGCGTAAAAAAAAAAATGCGCGTGAAAAAAGGCAGGGATCGCACACAGAGCCGCAGCGCGCGAGCGTTAACGAGCGACACGAGCGGCCGGCTCGTTTTTCCGCGCCGCATTATTCGCCGATCTCTCCTTACGGGCGGATCTTTTTTGCTTATTCAGCTTTTTGCGTCGAGCGCTCTCTCGCGCGCGCGTGCGAGCTTTGTGTGAAACCTATCGAGAAATCCGCCGCTGAATGTCATCCCCCCGCCGCGTTTATACGCGGCAAATATCGGAAGGGGCGAGAATAATGCGCGTTCGCGCGTGGATGTTCGAGCGACTTTCGCGAGAGCTTTTGTGAGATATAAAGAGGGGAGGGGGAAGGAAGGACGACGACGAAACGGCCGTATTCACGGGCGAAATCCCGCGCGAAATGCAGAGACGCGTGCGCCTCGAGAGGGAGAGACGCGAATGAATTTTACTTAGCGCTCCTCGAGCTTTCTCGCGGGGGGAGAGAGGGGGGATAGTCGCGATTCGCGCGGATAACAATGCGGCTCGCCTAATTACTCGGCGATTTATCGCTGACCTACAATCCACTTGCGAAACAGCGTGAAATATTCAGCTGACCCTATCGCGCGACCCTTTCCGCTTCACGCATACACGTTCACACGCATTTACGCATACACACGCACACACATATGCTTACGCACGCATGTACAAGCATGTACAAATTAACGAAGTACGATTCGTATTATTATGACCTGTGTACGCCAGCGCGCCGCGTTTGGTTGAAGACGAAGCTTCCGCTCGCTCCTGAGTCGCGGCGGTCGATGACCTTTGCCCTAAATACGCCGCGCCTGTCGATAGACGAAAATACGGGATCACAGTCTGCGCTCGCGTCTCGCGCCCGTGCGCGCTGTGTATTTGCAAATTTCCCACCGGCGAAACTCGTCGTCCTCGTCGAAAGAGAGAGAGAGAGAGAGAGAGAGAGACATTTTCCGCGAAATATGCTCGTTACCGTGCGCGGAAAACTGATTTCTACCGCAACCGTACGAAAACCTCCGAACGAAACGGCGGCAGAACCGTGTTTCCTCCTGATGAAACAGCGCTTAAAAAATGCATCCCGCACCGTGGCTCCTCCAGTTCCCGCGCTTATCAACTTCTCTTCATCTTCGTTCTGACTGACGCTCGCGAAATTTCGTTAGAGTTTCGTTCCTATCGTGTGTCGGTGGTCGACCACGAGAGAGATTTATTTGAGATCGGAATTATTTGAGATCTTTCCCTTCTTTCAGGCGCTCATTTGAGACACAGTCGAACTTTTCCAATGGAAAGTTGGTATTTCTCAGGGATTCTTCAGTTTTACAACGCGGAAATCCACGTTGATGTTGCTGAGAAGTCGTTAGTCAATCGGCCAAATCGGCTCTCGCATTTTCTCTTCTTTAGTCGAACGCCAAAATCGCGGCCACCGTCTCTCTCTTTCTCTCTCTCTCTCTCTCTCCATTGTGAAAGATTCAATATAGGGCGCCCAAGTCGACCTCCATCTCTTTCCTCCCTCTTATTCGTCTTATCGCAATGTCGCGCCCCGATCGCGCGTATCGCGATCCCCATTGTCTCAGCTGAGATATTAGGACGCAAAATCGAAACGTCGAATAGACCGAGGTGACCAAGCACGGGGTGAAAGAGAGAGAGAGAGAGAGAGAGAGAGACGGAGGCAACGGCGGAGGCAGCAGCAGCAGCAGCAACAACAACAGCGGGTTTAACTTTAACCCCCGCGAGGAGGAGGCGGCGGCGGCGGTGATGGCGGTGGAGGAGAAGCGCAGGCGTTCGCACGCTCCTGCGCATCGTTGCCGCTGCTGTATACCGCGATGCGACAGTCATACGTGGGGCGCGAGAGCGGGAGGTGCTCTCTCTCACCTTCTCGTCGATCTCGATCTCTCATTTTTGGAGGAGCTTTAGGTATTGCGTGCGAATCGCGTCCGACGTCTCTCTCACCCCCTCCCTTTGAGCGACTTGTGCGAGCGAACGAGCGAGGAAGCCTCGCATATGCATGCGCGTCGTATACCCCGCGTACACGTGTGTGTACGTACGTGTGCGTGCGTACATGCGTGCGTGCGTGTACTCGTGTGAATGCACCTTGTTACGACCTAGCGACCGGCCGACGAACACCCTCGTAGAGCGCAAATCTCGGTCGCTTCGTCGTCCAACCGGTGACGACAGGTTTCCCGAGCTGGGAAAGCGAAAGCTCGAGGCGGTATCCGAAAAGAAAAATTCGCGAGATACACGCGTAAGTGTCGTCGGTCCCCCCGCGTGTCGTCCGGCCGCGATCGAATTCTCGCGCGCGCGAGGCGCGGCGACACGCTTCTTCCGCGACTCGGGGGTGAGGGTTATTGTTTGCCCGCTGCCACGGCATGTCGATCTCGCCGAGGCGTGCATCGAGGGGGTGCATCGCAACACGAATGACGTCTCCCGTGACGGAGCGACATTATGAGCGTCTGTCACGTACGAGGATCGAATCCGGTCTGGAGAAGGTAGGAATACGAGATAAGGATGAAAGGGAAACTCGAGATGAACATGTTGAGCGGAACTCGCGGGAGATCTCGGCGCGTTTTTCGGAAAAATCGCCAGAGAGGATACGTAAGTAAGTGAGAGAAAACCTACGTCGATGCACGCAGGCGACGTCGTCTTCCCCATTGCTCGACAAGGGAAGTTTTTATTTGCGTCGAGATTACGACGCGAGTCGTGCGACCAAGAATCTCGCAATCCTACCTTCTCTCCCTTGCGACCTCGAGAGGCTCGTCCTACCGACGCTAAAGACCACGCGAGAAGAGAACCTCGTGTATCCGTCAGTGTGTCGCGACAGTCTCGAAAGCCGAGAATTCGATTTCCATCCCTGTTTACGAATCGCGCGAGCGGCTTGTTTTCGAACGCGAATGTAGGTCGGACCGCCGTGAGAGCCTCCGAGAGGTAGAGCATTCGCGCGAATTGCGTTCTTCCATCGGGAAACCCCGGATGTCCGATTTCTTTCTAATACGGAACGGAGGTGCGGCTCTAGCAGACGTTCCCGTACGTGCCCGGCGTGCAGAGGGTGTGCGACGATGAGCCCTTCCGCCGAGAGTAGAACGACCCCGCGAATCGCTCGAGCCAACTGCGACACGGCTCGTTCGCTCAGAATTGCAGCAGGATTGCGAAAATCCGAGAGAGAAAAAGAGAGAGAGAGAGAGTCGAACGAAAACTCGTGGTACGCGGACTCGAATCGATCGCTTCGGTGATGCGCTAAGTCAAAGTGGGGTCGGTCAGGTTAATTGCCGCACCGCCACCGTGGCCGACACACGGGAATGTGTTTCAACGATGACTACGGGCAGCGCGCGAGGCCGAGAGGAGAATAGAGAGGTCGTTTGTTTGCCGAACGAAATGATTCAGCGACGGCGAATAATTGCCGGTCCTACGGCGCGCGGTCGCGTTCATTCCGCGATGTTACATTCACCCTCGACCGCCGGCGGGTCTATCGATTCCGGAATAACATCGGGCAGAATTTTTTACTCTTTAATGTTTCCACGACACGAACGGATTTAACCTGACCCATTTTTATTCCGCAAATAATTGATACAATTTAGACACGGACGGGACCATTTCGAATAATGCGCGATATATCGAGGGTGGCAGGGAGGGAGTAGCTTATTTTTTTCTTCTTCTTTAACATCTCGTCTGGAAAAACGATGCGAAATCGTAATCGACACGTGTGTCGACTTAGCGCACCTCCCAATCCGTTGGATTAATTCAATTAATCGATCCGACGCTAGATTCTTTTCGCTCTCTCTCTCTCTCTCTCTCTCTCTCTCTCTTTCTTTCTCCTACTTCTCCTCTTGTTCACTCATTCTCCGCCGTCGCGCTTTCCCATTTGCGTTCCCGATTGTACTTGCTTTAGTGCAAACGCGTTTGACGTCTAATTTATATGCAATGCATTTCTGTTTGACGTTCGAAAGGATTCCGCTCGCTGCGCATAATAATATCCCCCGTTTCTCCCCCGATAAATGTCTCTCCTCCCCCCCCCTCTCTCACTCTCTCTCTCTCTCTTAATTATCTGTCGTTCTATAATATATTCCTCCCCTGCGAGCCTTTTTGACTCTCTAATAGATATTACCGTCTAATGAGATGCTCCTCTTTTATTCGTCCCTCATGTCGCGACACGGTAATGCGCGTCCGAACCGCCGCGACCAAACCCGACGTCGCGCAACCTTCGCAAAATTCGAATTAATTAGCCGCGTGTATTCGGCCGATTAAGGTGTTCGGATTACCAAATTCCGGTTAAATCGCCAGTTAAAAACGTACGGTATAATGGAACGGGCGATACTACTAGGCGATATCCAGGAGCGAAATATGAAACGCCGCCGCGTCGTAAGGGTGAAAGTGAGGATCGTGGAAATTTCAAAGACGGATCTCGCGAATTATACACGCGGAGGGAAACTTGCGTAACGCACATGTGTATGTACACAACGTAAATTGATAACTCATCTCATACATATGTAAAGGTATAGCGATGTATTCATTAAATGTGGACGTATAAATTTTTCGTGGAAAACCCGGTAACTTGGGCACGTAACTTCACTGTCAGCTTCGTAAGCTACACGTCCGTCTGCGAGTAAATATCGCGCGGGAGGTGACTGTCAAAAGAGAGAAAGAGAGAGAGAGAGAGAGAGAGAGAGAAAGAGAAACTTGGAGTTCCACACAGCTCATCATTAGTGTTAATCCGTGTAAATGTATCCGTTTTAATCTCACTGTAAACGCCGTCTGCGTCTTTACCCGCGCGAGAACTATTACGGCAGTGCACTCTCTCTCTCTCTCTCTCTCTCACGAGATGTGCACTTCGCTTGCTTCGTACTTTAACCTTTCCGTATTTATGCTGTATTATGTCCGACATCCATCGGAATTTCAATTTAGACGCGCGTGAGAGATGTTGGGGTGCGGGGCAGGCTCGGAGTGGGCTTTCGTCCGCCGCAATCAAATTTTCAGCAAACCGATTAGCCGAGAGAGAGCCTCACTTCGCGAGTCGACGACGTAAATCGTAATCTCGTGTCTCGATGTGCGTCGGTTGACACGTGAGCAAACGCGTCCAAACTCGTCACTCGCTCGCGCGCGCGTCACTCGAATTCGCGGTATCGCGCGAATTTTTTTTTAACGCGTTCGCAGCACCGCCGCGATCACCGGTGATGACTGGGACTACTACGACGTTACCGTGTTTCATTAATCTTGGGAATAACACCCGCGATTTCGACGCTGAGGTAACATCATATGTCTCTCAGGTCTGCATGGTAATACGTTTTCTGTTGAATTTAATGTCCCAAATGGCAAAGTTTTTGTATTCATTTGTCTATTAATAAATATCAACTTAATACAATTGAAATAACTGTGTATATCATAAAACAAATTGTGAAAATAGTATTTAGCATTTTTTTTTAATTACTTATATTTACCAAGCTTATTGTCAATTTTTATTTATTGTCAGACTGATTGCCACCGGGAAACTAGTTATCTCATTGAATCGGGCTGGTGATAAAGCAGTGATCACATAATGAACTTTTTTCTGCGTAATAGAGGAGTGAGGTATAATATTTTGCGCAAAACGCGGAAAAGAGAGAGAGAGAGAAAAGTGGGAGAAAACGCGTGTAAGCCCAACATGTTACTGTCCGAGTTGAGTTACGTTAATTATGATTATTTGTATCTGTAAAATCGATCGCGCACAGTCAATAAAGGACCAACGAAACGAGGCGAAGCGAGCATTTCGCTCTACGGGCGTAAAAAGTTGAAACAACAAACCGGGACGAAGAAGAGAGCGACTCGTTTCGTTATCGGAGATATCGACTGCGTCGATCTGCACGTTACCGTTCATGAGGTTCTCGCCGAGATTACGAGGCCCAGACCTAAATACCTAGTCCGCCTGGCGGTAAAACGGCTACCGGAACGTGTTCGTACACTCGAGCCTCGGCGAGGTCTGGAGGCGAGTTATCCGGATTATCGGAGGCTGCGCCGTGTATTTACATTTCGGCGACGGGGTCGGAAGCGCCGCGGGAGAACGCAATGTGCAGGTCGTTGTAACGATCGTTGTTCGATCGGTGCGCGCCGCTGGCCAGGTAGGAAGAATCGGAGCGTGTAAAAGCATCGTCGTCGTCGACCCGTTTCGATGGTAACGAGCGGCAACGAGCGGTGAGTTGCGAGTTTCACGAGTTTCGTCGCATCTCGCAATCCTGAACTGCCAATTAACGAGCAAGAACTTTTTTGCGCGCGCGCGTTGTATTCGACGCGAAATAACTACGGTGGGCCGCTTTCATCGCCACTCGTCGTATCGTTCCCAAGGGACGATTCCGAAAAGTCGGCTCGCGAAAGCCGATCGGCCCGAGTTCCGGTGGGTAAGACGATGAAAAATTGATCGGGCCAACGAAGGAATAAAGGACGGGATCTGAGTTCCGCTTTAAATATGAACTGTATCCGCCGGCCGAAGCGAGCCGCGAATTATTGACTTACTCCACTTTTGCTCGGGACCCTTCGCTTAACTTCAACTAACGTGCGTATAGGAGTGGCTTCCGCACGTGGACGACCGGCGTTAACTCCGGCCTTAAAAAGATTGTAAGGCAAAACGAGTTTGATAAGAATCCGATGAAACTTGCATCGCAAGTTATACACTGAAATATTATTTAACTACCCCGGCAATGAAGAAAAGATCGGCCATACAGCTGAGATGTTTGCAACTAAAGCTGACACTCTCACACGTGTTCCTTGAGATTAGCGCGCTGTTTCAACATTTCTATTTTTAATACCTTCCAAACTTTTAAAAATAGGATTTTCATGAAAAACTACCATGATATTAAAGATTGATACGCGGATGTTGCATATCAGTTTCAGAATCATCGATTATTTTGTTTTGGAAATACAGCGGTGTAAAGTTTATAACTTATAGTGATACTTGAAATACATACATATATGCACACATGAAAATAATTATATACCTCTGCTATCTGTATTATCTGTGCATCCCCGTTAGATCAACTGATCCATAAATATTGCATTAATACGAAAAATAAAATATATTTTCGCGTTTGTAATATTGTGTATATGTATGTTCATCTCAACATCGTTTTAAATTAACATTTATTATTTAAGTAATAAAATGTACAGGAACGTAATTTTACCCGGTGAATGCAGAATTATTAATTAATTAATGAGTGGGCGGCTTTAATACTCCACTGAAAATACGATACCGAGCCTTACAACCTCCTTAAGCACGGCTGAGCGAATTTTCCCGCTCTGTTCGTACCACGGTTCGAGACTGCGATCTAAGAAGATACTATCGATCCCCGCCTTGCTAATGCAATCGCGCCGCTAACTCATAATCGCGTCACCGTTCGTTCGTTCGTTCGTGCGTTTGTTCGACGCCGCATCCGTTCGCGAGCGGAGGAACAAGACGGATCTCCGAAGCCGGCGCGCGACTTCAATTTGCCGCGTCGCGCGGGATTTTCTTCGTCGCGAATTAACTACGCGTGTGTCATTATCCTCCCTTCGGAATCTGATCGCGACGAAATTACGTAGATACTTATTAAACCGACTTCCTCTCTCTCTCATTCTCTCGAATCGAATCCTGATTCGCGACACACTGTTTCGCGCACGAGAGAGCTCTTCCCCTTTTCCCCTCGGCGCCAATTATCTCCCGACTTTTCCTCGAGTAGGGGAGGATCGCGTTACCTTGGCTCAGCGTAGCGGAAGCACCCGTCCGTCCAAGTCGACGCCGGCTCGAGTTTTCCACCTGGCCCGTTCTCTCTCTCTCCGATAACGGGGCGGAGAGCGAGGAGGAGAAGAGCGGGGGGGGGGCCAGGAGAATCGGATAAAGTTTCTTCTTTGTGACGCGAGAACGCCAAACGAAGGGGGCACGAAGGGGGGCGAGAGAGAGAGAGAGAGAGGCACACCGTCTCTCCTTCATCCTCTCTCTTTCTCCTTCTCTCCCCCTTCTCTATGTAGGTTAACCAGGTCGATCAGCCTACGTTCCCTCCATCACCTCGACCTATCCCCCTGTTCGCCGCTCGTAACCTCTCTCGCACACCCTTAGCCCCGTTGTTACCCCCCGACTAGTGGCGGATTTATCCGTACGACGCTCATCAGAGAACTCGAATGCTGCTGCGCCGCAGCGTCGTGCTGCAATTTGCAGACGCGACGTCGTAATAAAATCGATATTATCAATACGTTACACGCTGTATAAATGCGACGATTAAAATCATCACCATCCGTGAATCCGTGTGTATTATCGATGCCGCACGTCCGTGTGTGTATGTGTGTTTGCGAGATCAAGTCTCCGGCGAGATTTAATCGCTCCCTAAACTGTATTGATTTTTCAGACGACCGAAATAATTACAGCCGTACGTTTCGCCACTCCGGGAAAGCTGTTAATTAGTCACGCGAGTGAGCGTAGCGAAGCGCAAGGATTGATTGATCGATTAATTTTTTCTCTCCTACCCCCCTTTCTATCCCTACCCTCCCTCCACCCTCTAATCTCTCTTTTTCCGGCGAGAAGCGCGCGACGAACGCACGGTTAAATTAGCGAGCGCATTTTCCAGAGAGCGAAAAGTAGCCTGGAAAATGTTTTCGCGATCGGAAAGGTCGTGTCAACTGCACGTCGCATGACACTCTCGATGCGTTGAATGCCGACGAGGTCACCCCCGTCGCTGAGCGGTCACCGCGCGATGACTGACTTGTCACATTAAAGCACGCGTAAAACGCAGGCGACGTGCGTTATTCGCCGTGAGTTGCGCGAATCGACGGTGCGCGAGCTATGTTACACGCGGTAATGAGAATATGGCTAAAAGCGCGCGACTTCCGGCGAATTCGGAACAGCCGTGAAGAGCGTATTCTCTCAGCATCTGTTTCGCGAGTTCGCGGAAAACGAGCGAGACTTCTCTCTCTCTCTCCATGCGCGCCGGCGCAACGGTGCTCGATCAGCAAGCGACGAAAGTGCAACTCGACCAACGTGCTCGAAAATGCAATCGGATAGTTACGGAGTGCCGGCAAAATATGTCCACTTGCGATCGTTAACGCGTTAAATATTGCGTCAAATTCGCGGATTTCCGATCACGACCGAGTGGAATCCGCTGTGGGAATCAGTGTGGGAACCCAATCGAGATAAAAGCGTGACCTCTCTCTCTCTCTCTCTCTTTCTCGTGATTTTTCGCTGAAAAAATATATATCTCTCGTTTAATGTTTCAGCGAGCGGTGACATTTAGATTTGATCGTGATCATCCGCTGAGATGAATAACCAGTTGATATTGGATCGCAACTCCGAGTAGCTCCGAGTTTTAGCGAGCCACGCTTGCCAGCGAATTACTTCATTCATTTGCTAATTATACAGTGACTGATGCGTCCTAAATACATCGTATTTTCCTTTTCGTCACTTCGAATCAGAGCGATCGCACTCTCTCTCTCTCTCTCTCTCTCTCGACCTCACTTTTGCGCGGATACGTCACTATGCGACGATAGGAAGACGCTGAGAAATCCGTAGTCATTCTCGGTAGAAGGTTCGGAGAAACGCGGCCGTATTGTAATTAATCGATGCGTTTACTCAGACTCGGCCGTTGGACGCGGGGGTTATTTGCGTGTGTGGGTAGGCGCGTCTCTGCTCTGAGACGGTAATACCCGGAAAAGCTAATTCACCGTTTACGTGACAAATGGCGTTGAAAATATTTCCGCGTTTTCCACGCCGGCTGTGCTCGTCGCATTTTCAATAAAGCGCCGAGACACAAAGCGACGTCAGCGAACGAAGACACAACGCGCGGTCGATTAACTCCAGACTGGAGTGGTTAACATCAGAGACTTAATTCTTCGTGATTATTCGCGAAATAATTCGCGAGGGATTATGTTCGAGTATCGTGTCCGAATATATTTCCCGTCGTCGGCATTAAAGGTAAGGTAAGGGAAACGACTTCGCGATTCGGTGGACGGTAAAAGCCGGGGACTAAACGTGCGCTATGGGCCGTGTAATGACCTGGGTGCTATGCATTTTAAAAAGTCCCCCCCCCCCGTAAATAAGTCGCCGTATTACCGCCGCCGCGACGACGAAATATCGAGCGCTTCGCTTTTATTTCGGCGCACCGCACGCGCGAACAACCGCGCTAAACTGATCTCCGTTATTTGCAATGTCGCGCCAAACTGTCCGACAAACGTGTTTATTTTTGTAAGATCGATTTGTCCCTAGTCGTAGAGCGAAACTACACACAGATAGAATAATCGCCGGATCACCGGCGTCGGATACGCCCCGGCATATAAAACCGCGGCAGATTACCGCCGCATAATTGCATCTGTTGCCCCGCTACCCGTGGAGTTTTCCGAGACGAGACGAGAACGCGAACGAGACACCGACGACGATGACGACAACAGTGGGAAGGCAAGATCAACGGGAAGACGACAACGATAAATCCACCCGCGAACTCGAAAATTGAACACAGCCTGGATGGATCTCGTAATCTCTCCGGAGAGATTCGCTTGAGACAACGCTGTGTTATTCGAAAATTTCACTCGCACGTTGGAGAGTTGACAGATTAGATCTTACCCTCCAATTTCTGAGCTAATACCTTTTACGAACGAGAGTCTGATTTACGGTCGCAATTTTTCCCACGAGGCGCGAGCTCGCCTAATTCTCCGTTCCGGAGATTTTTGCACGTCCGTCGTCCCGTAAGTTCGCAGGACGGCAGACGAATTGAAATTAGAGTAAAAGTCAGACCTGTCGTTATATGTAAGTGTGTGTGTGTGTGTGTCACTGCGACTGTAAAATGCAAAATGAGCGCACATGTACGTGCGTAAGGCGCAAACAAACACGTTCCACTTTGCCCCCACTTCCTCCTTTCGCTTCCCCTCGCTCATGTGCCTCCTCTTTCTCATCGCTTTGTGCTCCTCTTGCAGACTTTCGGAATTTTACGGTAACTCGACGAGGGACAAAGTGGGCTCGACGATGCTTCGAGAGAGCGCGAACGTTTCGCGACAGAGTAACGCGCCCTCGAACATGCCGGACGGATTGATGGCCGACGTGTAAGGTAACAGGAAGCGATAGCGTATTACGCGAGGATATACGGTAAACGACAGCCATCTCCTGTGTTACGCGCGAATCGACCTGCCTCTTCATTTATCTCTTCGGCCGAGACGAGACGATCGTCCCGAGAGTCGCGTCGAATTTCGTAAAATACATCGCTATCGATTTTCCGTGGCACACCGAGAGAGAGAGAGAGAGAGAGAAGAGAATATCTAAAAACATTTACTCGCGAGTATTAATAATATATTTACTTACGCTAATACACATATTTTTCCATTGAAAAAGATTGATTTTCAAATAAGAAAATATGCAAATCTTAAAGGCCGTAGCTTTTCATGGAAGGCAATTGTTTTTTCTATATTCGAATGCAAGAATTTAAATTTAAGCAAATACACACACAGTTATTCGCACCGCGAATAAATATTGTTTATCTTGTAGATATTTCTCTCTCTCTCTCTCTCTTTCTCTCTTTCTCAGTGCAACGCGGGACCGACAAGAGCGAGGATCGTCTGCGAAAATATATATTGGCTCTCGGAGTCGATTCGCGGGTTTCTGAACGACGGGGTGCCTCGCGAAAAGGGAAGTCTCGGCGAGTCACGATTTCCAAATGGATCGGGACTTAAATTTAAATTGCTACCTCGCGCGCACGCGACTTCGCTGTTCCACGTGTTACCACGAAGATCGCGCGTGATTGCTAGCTCGTTAATAAAGATTCACTCTCTCTCTCTCTCTCTCTCTCTCGTTTCCGATACGGTAAATACCGACGTCGCGCGTCAACTCGCGTGCGCGGCGACTGATGGAAATCTAAAATGAAAATCGCCACGAAAGGCTCACCGGTTGTCTCGCGTCTCCGCCAGGCTCGCCGTCGTTCATCCGCGGCATCGCGTGAACTTTCTCTCTCGAGACGCGACTAGATCGGTGTTCAATCAGCGATACACAACGATTTTAACCTTTTGCGGATTGAACACGATGGATTATTTTAACCGGCGGCGAGTCTTAGCAAGAAACTTTGGTCTTTCTCTTTCGGGGCGCAAAGAGTTAATCGCGATTATAAAACGATTATCTCGAGCTTCGTTGCTCCCGGCGCTTTCCGGTTAACCCCTGTAAAAACCGCTCCCCAGATTACCGATCACTCAACGATCGCGATCATTAATCACGTATCTCGTTTTACTCGCCGATCGCGACTAGGTAGGTCATTAATTTTATCACGTTTCGCCGAAGCGTGCCTCCAGGCGGCGGAAAGAAGACGAACGAGATAGGAGGAGGAGGGGGAGGAAGAGAGGAGCAGAACCGGGTGGCCTCGCCAGGGTGGAGGCGGCGTGAGATGGTGGATGTAGCGGTTGATAAGCGAGGCGCGGCACAACCGGCACGAGGTAGACCAGGCGGACCGGCGAATCTCACCACTTTACCGCGGGTGATCATCACCATCCCCGTGGCGAGCGGCGAACGGTGGAGGCTCCCGTGCACCCTCGTGATCGCGCGGGCGCCCGTCGTCGTGTGCGACAAGGTGAACCCGGCGGGTAGAGGGGGACGCGCGAAGCGCTGCACCGCGGAGGAGGCGGCGAAGAGGAGGCGGTATCGGGAGGAATAAAAGGGCCTCGTGACGGAGGGGCTTCGCACGGCCCTGGCGCGACTGCGGCACTGTACCCCTGCGGGGGGTTCGCTGCCGAACACACCAAATCCACCGTCCACCCCGGAACACAAGTCCCAAGTGAGCGCGAGAAAACAAAATAGTTCGTTGAAAACAACCGTCCCGACAAAGCGCGCGGAGTGTCAAACTATTGTCATTTGTTTGTCCAAGCTACTGGGGCCCTCGGCAGGAATTTTAATTTGTGTGAATGTTCGCACGCGCGCAATCCTTTCTATTTTTCTCGTTTACGTTGATTTTGACACATTTTGCACAATTTTACAGTTTTATGTGTATTTCTGATTTTTTACTGATATCAAACTTGAAAGAAATGAAATTGTTTTTTTTTTTCGAACATCACTCCTAACTTCAACCGCATATTTGAACTACCGTATACTTGGCCAGGTGTCAAGTCAAAATTTGGAAGGTTATCCCATAAAAATTTTCCATAAAGCCAGTTACATCGCTGCCTGGAAAGTAGTTATAATTCCTTATTTTGTAACTGTAATTTTTCTTTCGTTTAACCGTCAGCTAACTTATTTATCCAGCCATTATCTAGGAGAAGTAAGTTAGCGGAAGCGTTACTTGGCCAGCAACGATGTTACACACAAATTTATCTACCCAGTGGCTAGATAATGGCCAGGCGGCACTCATGAGGTTCAATTTATACTAGGATGCACGCGGGAGGATAACCTGAAAAAGAAATCAACATAAACCCGACCACTACTATACTCGCGGAAATGTAACTTGGAACAAAATTAAAATAATGCAGACGTGACTTCCGCCACCCGCGAAAGAAATAACTCCGAAACGGGGAAAAAAATAAAATAACGCGACCGCCACGCGAGAAAATAACCTGAAGAGAAATTCAAATAACGCAAACTACCATATTATAGACGCGGAGGAAGAGAACTTGGAAGACAATTATTTGGAAGAGAGCAACTCTATGGTCGATTTGCGAACTTAGCCGGCGAATCGTCCCGCTGTCATTGCCAAGTCAGTGTGTATCCGCTGTAATCCGCGGCCTTGTCTTCCAGGGATGCTCGAGGGGTCGCGAGTCGGCGAACAGATGCGGCAGTTTGGGGAGTAGCGCGTGTGACACGGGGGATACATCGCAGTCGCAGCCATCGCGGGGGCAGCAGCATGGAGCTGACGGCGGGGCGCGGGACGGCGACCTGCTGTCGTCCGCGATCCGGCGATTCAATTTTAAATCGGCCGGCGGCAGCCGTAGCTGCCGCACGGTGCCGAAAGTCGTGGTCATGGGCTCCAGCACGGCGTCCGAGACCACGATCAACACGAGCACCGACAGCGCAAACACGATGCTTACTATGGTAGGAGCGCGCGGACGTTAACGTTACAAAAACGCTACTTTGTTTTTCGCTCGATTTTTGCGTGCGCTAATTCGAAACGGCGACTGGCTCTGAGAGGTGGTACTCCGGTGGTGTAAATATATGCAAAATTCGGGCGCGAGTAAGCGAGCGAGCGAGTCGTGTGAAGCGACTAATTAAAAAGTAAAATTCAAATTAAAACCGAAAAGCTTGAAATTACGCGGTCAAAGTCGGAGTTACGTTGAGATGCCACGGAGTTTAAATAATTGCGAAGATAACACGGTGAGAAATAATGAGAGGAGGATAAAATAAAATATCATTCGCGAAGTAGTACTAGAAAGGAGTTTACGATACGGAGGGAGAAATAATGAAATTTCTCTCGCTGGTCGAGAGGGCTATCCATAACGAAATACGTCCGGCAAGGGTTCGCAAAACCCGTGTGTACCGTGCGAAATTACCCTTTAAAAAAAGAAAGGGTAAAAATACATAAAGTTGACGTGCTCCCCGTATGAAGAGAATTATAAAAAGGAAATGTTATCGCGAAATGTGTGTATTCACCATCACCGTTCGCCGCTATAAAACCAATTACGAGGAGCGAATAGCGATGTACACAACGCACACAACACGGAGGGAAACATTATTTAAGTGTCCAATTGATCACGGTTATTATTATTTGATTGTCAATATTGACGTTAACATTGAACCGCACCGCGTACTTTTGCGAGGATAGCGCTGCATTTAAATGTTCGTTGTGTAACGCCGGCACAAGCTCGTAAACGTCGCGGCGCGTAAATATTACGTCGGGCGATAATTGATAATCAACAAAAGTCGTGATAATGCATCGAAGAATAGGCAAAGTTGGCGAGCCCTGATGAATCGCCGGGGGAATTCACGCTGCTCGATGTCGCCGGCGAATTCACACAGGTTTTGCCGTTCACGTTCGAATTTAATCAGCGGACTTCGCGTGCTCTCTATCCATATTTCAATCTTCAGCGGTTAAACATACAAAAGCGACCGTACGAGCCTCGTCATACGGACCTCTTTGCCCGTGACGCTCGGGATTCATTCTTAACGCGTTAATAAATACACTCGGTCTTCGTAGAAAGTTCTCTTATCGTCCTCGCAGTGGAACTATGTGTCGAATTTCTTCGTGTGAGCGAATACTTTATCTTCATATAAGATTAAATGTTCTTGGCCTATGAGAATCTTAAATCGATACTGCTAATTCTCTCTCCGTGTACGTTCTCATGAATGTTTGAACGCGAATCGAGCGGAAAACGACGAAAGAGACCCTATAATATTATCGCGACGCAATCATCGGCAGCCGCGTGTGCCACCCGGTTTCCGTTCCCCAGGTGACGACGACGGACGGGGAGCAGCCGGACGACAGTTTCGACTTAATCGACGTGCCGGCCGAGATGTCGCCTCCCGCTACCGACTCGCCGCAACCGTCCATCCACACCGGTCACCGACATCCCGACGAGACCGCGATTAGCCGTTCCTCATCACCGGCGTCGCCCACCTCGCCGATCTCCGTCGCGACGAACCGGCAGACACCGCCGCCGTTGGTACCGTCTTCGCCGTCATCGCCGCTCTGCACCTTCGACGGCACCGAGGCGGGGCCGTCGATGACCCGCTGTTCCCGCTCACGGCTCGACTCGACCCAACCGGACAGTGGCTCGAAGGTGATCACCGGCTGCTCCTTGTCGACCGGCGCGAGTAATGGCACGGAGGGCGCGGTCGTGCCGCCACCTACGCCGATAGTCGGCGCGCACCAGGAGACCCGGTTCAACTTTGGCAGCGGCAGAACGCCGCCCCTACCGGATCTACGGGCAGCGGACTTCTTCAGGTGAGCGAGTTCGCGCGATGAGTCGTTCTGCCCGAATTCCGCTTTCGATCTCGAGGGTGGTTCCGTGGTGACTGAGCGAAAGAGAGAGAAAGAGAGAGGCGGCGACCGTCGTCGGTGAGATGTGGGGATCTTACGTGCGAGGAATGCGAGGCGATGCTGTGCGCGCGGTATCGAGCCGCGGGTCGATAACTCGTACGCGCGACAAAAGTCGTCGCGAGAGCAGCGCGGGAAAATCCGATACATTCAATATTTATTCGTCTTCTCGATCAATTATGAGAGAAATTGACCAAGTTTACGGAAGGGAGGTCCATTTCGAGCGATAATGCGGATAACTTGCTCCATGAGACTACGCCGATTTCAATTCGTTCGATCTCGCATCGCCGGCTCGCACGGTCGATTCCGGATTAAAGATCGCCCCTTCTTTTCCGCTTCGAACAACACCGGGGTTTCTTAAGGGAATTTGGATACCTCTCGCCCACGGCCTTTCTCCTTCTCTCTGCGTCTATTTCTCTCTCTTTCTCTCCCGTCGGGTAAACGCAAAGTTTACGGTCGGAGAATGTACTTTGGAGCAATTTCCGAATCGAGCCCTTTCGCTAGATTTCGCTCTGGATCTCGGGAAACGGCAGTCGGTGTTCTTCGGCTCGGTCGTAAATACGCTCGCTCGCCGCCTCTCTCGTGTAATCACGGCGAAAGCGTAGACCTGCACTTGCTTTGCGTTTAGCACCCCCGTGAGAGGCTCCGTGGATGCGGGCCAGCCCGATTCGGCGGGCGACCCGCGCTCCTCGCTTCGCAACCTGGTCGCCGCGCAGGACAAGCAGAACGCCCGGCTGGGATACCAGATGGATTACGCGAACCTCGGCAAAGGGATCGGCAACCAGGTGAACGCGCTGGATAAGTCTGAGCTGAAGCGGAGTCAAAAGAGGCCCAACATCAACGTCACCACCAATCCGCTCGACATATCGCTCATAGGCGCTCAACCGTGCAACACCCACGGCTGTAACGCTCAGGGTAGCGGGAGCGTCAAGTCGCGGGGACGATCAGCCGGTGAGTTCTCCCGATCTCTCTCTCTCTCTCTCGTAGCACCGCGGAGGACACAGCGTACGTTCGCGTTGCCGAGTCGCTTACAACGCTATTTTCATCAACGCGACGCGAAGATTCGAGTTCTCGCCATTCGCCCCCATCGACGTTGCCCCCTCTTTCTCTCTTTTTTCGTAGCCCGAGGGACGCGACTGTTTCTCTTTCTCTCACTCTCTCTGTCTGTCTTTCTCTCTCTCTCTCACTTTCATTCCCAGCCCGTCCAATTCATGCCCGCGATAATCCACCTGATGAACCGGGATCGCTCGAATGAAGATCGAGCGCGCGCAGCTCGCCATTACGAATTGACAGGCAAGCAAGCGGCAACCTCGGTTAGCATCGATCGCGAGTCAATGATTTCGTCCGCCAGTCGTGTCACTTAGCCGCGCGACGGTATATCACTAACCAGAGTTATTTAAGCATAGCTATCGACGTGACCGGCTCTATAGTTCCGTCGTTTAACTAGTAACTTCCAGTTAACGGACTCGTCGTCTATAGATCGTAGAAAGCGGTGGAAACGCCAAGTCGACGATACGAGCTTTACAGTTCTCTCAGTTATGCCACCTACGACACTCGCACCCCCTGATATCCGACGAGGAACCCTCTTAGCCGAACCGACGACCCGTTCAATGTCATTTTGTCAAAGCGATCGCAGAAGAATCACGACGGCTTGGTTTTGCACTCGTCGGCGAGCCGTCCCGCCGAGGGTCGAAATTACCGGCCGCTTTTCACCCTTGCGTCGTCTTTCTGCGAATCCCACGAGAAGTTTCAAGGACACCTCGCGCTCTCTCGGATAAAGGGAACGAACTTTCGCTAACCAGCAGCACGTTAGCGTTAACTGACATCGGCGCGCGAATCGACCTCCCGTCGTCTGTTCATGTGTATATGCGTGTATCCGTGGCATGTTGCGTGAGTGAGCGAGTGCGTGCGTGCGTGGTTGCGTGCGAGGGAGAGGAAAAACGGGGGGTGGGGGGGAGGCGAGAGAAATGGACGGTACCTCTAAGGAAATGAATTGATGTTCTTTTCTTTCAGAATCTCATCCACTCGTTTCAGCCATTCATTCATGGGTCAGGGTCTTTTTCCCGTTTTGCGCAATAGGTATAACAGCTCGGCGAATAGACGATATAGTCATTCCCGTATCCACGGGGCGGCCGTCGAGAGCGCGATGATGATGGCGATAATGACGATGACGACGATGACTGTGTCGAGACGACGACTATCACGCGACGGTTGCGATAATAATGACGACGAACGCGAACGAGAGCGGCGGATACGACTACCGGGAAACTTTCCGCTATCTTCCGACGGCCGCCTCTTTTTTTGGTGTCGCGTGGATACGCACTATACGGTAACATGCGACTGTGCGAATGCGCTTGGGCTTCTTCTTTTTTGTTTCTCCATCTCTTGCTTACGCTGCATCTCTGTCGTCTCACGTTGTCGATCACACACGCTTGCCCGTCTCTCTTTCGCGCGTATCCCAGACGTCGGCTACGAGCGGCGACGACGACGACGACAACGCTTATCGACCCCGTGGGAGAATGGGGGTGAAAGGAAAAAAACACGGAGATGGATATTACGTCCTTGACGAAAGTCGCTCCCGCGAGACGGTCCTTATGAGAGACGCGCGCGCTCGATGTCGTCGACGTTCTTAATGTCTCCGCTCGTTGTGTCTGCGACGGGTGAAAATCGGCGTCGTAGCCGAGGTGGAATGTCTGTCGCCGGTCTGACGTTTCGATCTCTCTCCGGAAAACGCGAAAATTCGCCTCTGTTGATAATACCGCGCCGAATCACGGCTTAATCGGAGACGCGAGTTCCTTCATCATCGTCGCGGAACCGTATTCGCATAAGTATTCAATGAAATTAACGAGGCTCGACGCGGCTCTCCTCGTCTAAAGATGTTCTTAATGTCGCCGCTAAAGACGGACTTCAGAAGAGTCGATTAAGCCTTTGTCAAGTTCCCTCAATATTTACGGGCTCATGAGCTCGATTTTTCTTCTCACTCTTTCGTCTCGGGAATTATATCTATACTTTCGAAATTCCACGTCAATTTCGTCGAGACGAAAGATAAGATACAAATTTGACTGTCCCGAGAGGAAATTCCGTATTCGAAAGTGTTGTTTTCCGCCGAAGGAAAGCTAAGATCGCATCTCGGCGCTTGGGACTTCCACCTCTTCTTTTGTTGTTTTTTTTTTCTCCTTGGTTTTGTGTGTATCGCGAAATAAAGATATTTATCGTTATAGATTTAGACAGATAGATGAATGGAATAGATATATGGGTAGTAGAGACATAGATAGACACGTAGACTTGTCGACATGCGATATTCATCCCTGGGACGCGATATCGCTCGGCTACGCCGCCGCGAGAAAGGCGAAAGAGGACGCGACTTGGGAATGCGCTTGCAGCTGAATACCGCTGTCGAATCACGCTTTATCGTCACCTGTTTGTTTCTATTCACTGGTTACACACTACCGGGGTGTCCGCGGGATCGCCGTCCCCGCGCTGCCGGTTATCATTCCGTCCGTCACACGTTGCCCGGCGGATGGAATCTCGGTAATTGCAATTGCACGCCGGCAAGACCGAGAGAGCCGGGACTCGAGTTCGCAGATTGCGGAACTTTTGTTTAAACGAGTGAGGGAGGAGGCACGCGTCTTGGAGATTCCCATCGGCGCGCGCGACCTCGTGGGGCAGATCAGAAATTACTGCTATACCGGGAACGAAATCTGGGATGAAAAAAGTTTACGTGCCGTAACTAGCGCTCGCTCACCCGCCCACTCGTAAAAGGATCTCAGCCGTGGTATTATCCGTGAAATTCCGAATTCCATGCGTTTCGAAAAAGAGAAAGAAGCAGCGAAGCTCGCGAAGGTAGGTACGTACGTGCGTAACACGTACGCTAACGAACGTTCGCCCGCGGATTTATCCGACCGATCATGCGATTACCGGATGAACTTTTCCCGCGTCTCGCTTTTCCATCGAATGCCACGCGAATCATCCTCGATCAAATATGCATCCTATGCGATTTATGCGATGAAAAAGGCTGGCGGCTATTCAGGCGGAAATTTTCACACGTTTCACCCGCGCATCTCCAAGGGACTGAAATTCCACTGGACTCTGACTTTTCGAGAATCCGATTTCACGTTTGCTGCGTGCGACTGCGAGTCAATGTAATTTTCGCGATTAACTGATAAAAAAGAGAAGCAAAACTGTTCCCGTGTTATCTCGGATTTACCATTCGCCCTGGATTCTCTCTCTCTCTCCACGTGTCACACGATGACACGCCTGCTCCGCGACGCGAAGTAGAATATTTTTGATACTCGACGCGCAACCGGATTATCAAGTTTCGAAATTGAATCTTCTCGCCAATCAAGCCTCAATTTAATATTCCGCCAAAGTAAACGACACTTGTGAAATTAATCGAAGAGCAAGCTTCTCCCTCGCTTCTCACTTTCGATCCCCCCCCATCTTCGGTTGTTTGTCGGCGGACAAACTGTTCGGGCATTTCTTTGCTGTTTCGAGAGGGGGGATTAGACACCGCGGATTGAAAGCACGTGCGCCGGAGAGATAACAATAGAAAGTACTGAAAAGTGTCGATGCGCAAACGCCGCTCTTATCCCCCGTATTATCCGCAATCAGACGATCTAATCAGATCGGCGCGTCGGAAGCGTCGCCCGCGCCATCATCGTCGCCGTGAAAACAGGCTGAGCGACGGGTGAAACGGCGGTCCCGCACGGATGTGTCTCTCTCGTAAATCCGGCACGCGCGCCTCCCGGCGACCTCGCGAGCAAGGAGGAGGAGAGCCGAGAAAAGAACGGAGAGGGTGACGGCTCGCGTTGGCGTCCGAGGGCGCAAGGGCACGTGCGGGATGCACACAGGGGTCCGGAGGGGGGAGACGACGTCTAATTCCGTCTCGTCTCTCTTCCGTGACCCGCGGAAAAATTCGAACGAGCCCGCCGAGAGTAACGGACTCACTGAATTTTTCATTCCCCGAAAGGTGGGAGCGCCGGCGCCGGCGGCGGCAAACGATCCACCCAGGCTACCATCGTGGTGCAACAGCCGTCCCTCTCGCTGGACGCGCCCGCGGCGACGATCCTGCTGCACCCGGACGCGGACGCGAGACGGCGCGAGGAGAACATGCGGCAGCTGCTGGACGTCGCCAACACCCTCACCCTGCAGGAGATACACGACTTCGAGATGAGGTGCGTATCGATCGCCCCGATTCCTCCTCGGCGGACGACGATGCGTACCGATCGCGGTATCGGGAAGCGATATTTCCAAGATCCCGAGAGAGAAATATGCAAACTCTCGGTAAACATCATCTCGTGTATCTTGAGTGATTCACCGCTGTGGGCAGCGGACACTTTGTCCGGAAATTTTACTTCGAGTTTTTACCAGACGTGTGTATCCGGCTCCCGCAGGTCTCCCGACTCACCGGGAGTCAATACTTTGGACGGACGACGGCGTTATGAGCGACAGAATTCCTGCAGGCGCGCGTGTCACCCCCCTAGATATGCGCGCGCTCCTTTCAGAATATAAAATGTACGCAAATATATATATATTTGCGTTCATGAGAATATATATTCAAATGGAATGCAGAATATATATATATATATATATATATATATATATATGCGAGTTTAAGAATGTATTGTTCCCCGATACTCGAGATGCACTGTGCGCGTTCTCGCCGATAATACAAAAGAATATCCCGTTTCTCAAGCACCCGCGGTGAGCTTCCCCTCGAAAATCTCACCGTCGACTTGAAATTCGCGCGAGACTCTTGACATTTTCGCCTCCGATGAAATTTCCCGAAATATCGCGCGACAACGCCGTTAAGTAACGTCCGGACGGCCCCATCCCGCAGATACGGAAGCCCGCATCACAGCCGCTCGCAATCGGTGAAGGCCCCCGGGAGCCGCTCTTCCGGTCGGCCGAATTACCTGTGTCTTCCGCAACAGAGATCGCGAGTGGCGAGTATGCCCAACACCGGCGTGGAGGAGGAATATTACAGGCTGCGGCACTTCAGCATCACGGGGAAAGGCGTGGTGAACCGGGGCGACTCGCTCAAGAGTCGCAGGTCGCGCTCCAACAACAGCGTCGCGTCCAGCAACTCCAGGTGAGCGCGAAGAGTCACTTTTGTTCGCGTGAAATATTATTAATCGAAAGGCACATCGTGTCGCACCGACGGGGTTCTCGCTCGATAGCTCCGAATTTCCGGAGTCTCTTTCGTCACCGTCCTTGAGAGACGGCGTTATCTCCATTTTTCTCCGCGTTACGTCTCGCGAGAGCTCTTCTCTTCGTCACCGGCGAATTTCGCTGGAAAATTGACGCGTTTTTCCGCTGAATGTCGGCGACGGCCGTGGCAGTCAGATCGTCGACGACGATCGCGCCGATCGTCCTACGGTCGAGCGGTTCGCGATTGTTCCGCTCGGAGGGAACGCGAAATATCTCCGGCGCCATCTCCGGTTCGTCGTCAATGAGGAAGCGTCGCAGCGGGGAGAGGTGAGGGATCGGCACGACCTGGACCGTTGCTCTAGATCGAACGCGTGAGTTTACGTGTGGCGTTCAAGTGACGTAGACACGCGCGTTGGACCTTAAAGCGCGGTCCTCCAGCATCGTTGCAGAGGGGAGGGGGTTGAACTGCACTTCGAGTCCGGGGTAAATGTTCCCATCACAGGTTAGCCCCGTTAAAAAAAATCAGAAACCTCGACTCGTGATATCAAGGTCTCTTAACAGAGCTGATTTCATCCATTTGATGTCGACTTGCAAGTTTCTTCCCCCCTCTCGAAAAAGAAGAGAGATACTCGAATATCGTGTTTCAATTTGCAGCGGTAACGTCTAGCGTTTCCGCCGTTATCTGAGGTGTACTTAACGGCGTGCTTCTGCAATCCGTAAATGTACTCCGTCCGATCTCGCATGTAATAATTCCGCGAGAGAAAAATTCTCCGTGGAAATTCCGTTTGGGATTTTCGTCTATCGATTCGTTCGGAAGTCTATTAATTCAGCGCGAAAGAATATCGTTAGATTCGACATCGATGCGACACCGATGGCGGCGAGAAATCGGGACAAGTTTGTCGCTGAACGTACTCGTAACGTCGCGGTACATTCAATTTCGAAGTAAACCTACCGGTATACGTCTACGTGTTCCGATTTGCCTCACGGCGATATGGCGCGCATAATGTCTATGTGTAACGTGACGTGTGACAAAACATACGTATAATACAGTGCGGGACTAACGAGCGGAGTACTAGCGACGCAAGTAACTAGCCGCTGCCATTGTCGGCGTTGATCTTGTTATTCAGATTCCGCAGACCGAAACGTGAAACGTTGAATATTCATACGCGGAGCAAATAAACCTATTACGATTCTTTCCCCTGTTCTCCGTACGATACATAATTATCGAGTTTGATATCGATATCTGTCCAAGGTGAGAGACAGGTATCGCGTTTTCGCGTCAGACACGTGGGCGCGGAAGAATAAGAGTTCGTGTCGAAAGCGCGAAACACAAACTCCGTGACCGAAATTCGAGGTCGTCGCCTGTATGAAAACTTCAAGCGGGGAAGGGGGAGAGGGGCTCGATTATAGATTTATATTTGACACTGAGAAGAAAAAATGGGAAAAGAAGGTAAAAGATCCCGGCGAATTAAGCCGCGCCGAGCGCACAGAAATCTATTTCCCCGTCAATCCTCGGCGGGATCTTGATTTGAGGCTTAGTTGCCGAGACATTTAAATTTGAAAATTCGGAAGCCGCCGTTAGCACGCGAGGGCGGCTACGGTGGGGCGTCTGACGAAATTTTCCAGCGAGGTGAAATCGTCTTACATGCTCGGGGAACACGTTCCTCCCCAAGTTTGACGGGAATCTCTTACGAGACGCCTTGTCTTGCTCGGGTTCATTGCTTATTTAGGCCTAGGAGGAATTTCAATTTGTGCGTGTTACAAACGGAATCGTGTCGCGACGCCCGGTATTCGTTAGAACGAATGTTTTCGCAAAACGAATGATTAAACAGAAATCTACTCTGTTGTGTCTGGGGAAGGAAATTATTTTGACGAAGAGACCAGAGAGAGAGAAAGAAAGAGAGAGATACGCGAGAAAGATAAGAATCTTTCTGAGATATATTCTGCGTCCCGCAAAGTGCTACTCTCTCTCTCTCTTTCTCTCTTTTTATCCGGACTCGGACTACTTGCGCCATATGAAGCTAAGTAAAAAGCTTCTAAAAGTATTTACAGTTTCTCGTTGTCTTCAAACGTTTCTTAATGAGAAATCGCTCGTTTCGTCGATTTCTGTCGAGCGAAAATCGCGCTTCCTAATAGAATATATCTCATTATTACATTCACGCTGGAGAATCATTCGTTTTGTTGTGCACGTTTTATATGCCCGAAAATATAATAAAAATCTCATTCCGCTCTTTAATTATGGCTATTAAAAGAAAAAAAAGATTGCGGTGTTTAGCGTGTTAAATTATGTTTTCACAGCTGCACGCGAGAACGCGATTTATTAGACTATACATAATAACGAAGCCGCGGCGTTTTTCGATTTATTTTCTCCTCGAACAGCACACGTGAAATGCGTAATGGTCGCTCGTTTCGAGGAGAATAATTTCTCCCGTTTTAAACGTACTTAACATTCCAACAAGAGACAATCGCGAGCGAGTCGCGCGAAATCCTCGCTCGCGAGGGAGAATGTGAAATCGTATGTCCCCACCGCCAACAGAGGGTCTAGCTGCATCCCTAATCTCGATACGCGCCTAGCCTTTCTTCTATTCGACGCAGCACGGAGCACCTGACGGCCTCGTACCCAGGATCGGCGCGGAACTCGGCGGCGGGCTCGTTGGCGAGCTCGAGGGAGAGCAGCGCGTCCCAGGGCCCGGCACCTTACCGTGTTCTTATGCTGGGCGCCCCCGCCGTCGGCAAGAGCTCCTTGGTGTCTCAATTTATGACTTCCGAGTACCTGCACGCCTACGACACTTCGATCGGTGAGTCGTCGTTGCGCCATCGCTGCCGTAAAATCCATCGCCTCTCCTCCCCCGCATGTTCCTCGCCCCGTCGAAGAACGCGAGTGTGTGTCAGCGATCGATTCGCGGCGCACGTGGCCCCGCGCGAGAATCGCGATTCTCCGAGCGAAGCTCTCTTCTCCGAACCGCGGGGAGCGCGAGTGAACTTTTCCGCGGTTCCTCTCGAGGATTTTCCGCCGCGCGAGATCGCTTTGCATTGTACGTTGTCGCGCGGGACAGCCCCGTGGCGCGCTGTTCTCGCGACAATCCGCGAAACAATTCGAAGTGGAAATACTCGTGACAGCGGTCAACGGAAATATTTGCACACCCCTTTCAACGCGGCTTCCCCCGCGGGCGTGACGCCGCGCTGAAAGGAGAAATATCGCGCCGCGCGATTCAATGCACCGCCCGGGTCGAAATTTTCGTCCTGATGTTAAACATTTACATCTTCTACGACACAGTAGGAGCTAAGATAGCGAAATAGGTTCTCAATTTCAATTTTTAATAATTTAATATAACTTTTTTGGACGACTCTGATGACGCGTTAAATATCCGTTTCCGCTGTTTTAGCGTGAAAACCCAGCAAACACCAAGTAACATTGCATCGATCTTATAATTTCCCAACGTAACTGTTATGTTACATAATGCGTTATATCGTACTTACATTATTGCGTTGGAAATGATAATATTAATGTAATATCGCTTGGTGTTTGTTGGAAATAGGTTGTTGAAGGTAGACATTGAAATATTCAATCTGTAGAATTGAAAGTTCGAGAAAGAAGTTATAAAAAGTATCGGCATCGTCAAAGTGGGTTTTTATTAGACTACAAGTCGTCCAAGTAAGCGCAAAGTTAATCTTTAAGAGCATCGGAGGCAGCATCAAAATATCGAGTCGAGGCGTGGTGCTTCCCGACGCAAAACGTCGCGATTTATTTCTCTCTTTTCCGCCCACCCGTTGTTGTGCGCTGCCGAGTCGAACCAAGAGTCATCCGATGATCGTCGACTAATTATAGAGTCTAATTATATGTACTCCTGCCCGGAGCGTCCACTTATACTCCCCCTCCGTCGCTTTCGTTTATTCCAGACGACGAGTCCGGCGAGAAAACTGTCAGCGTGCTGTTGGCCGGCGAGGAATCGGAATTGACTTTCATTGATCATTCCTGCGCCGAGATGACGGTGAGTTAGCGGTGTGCTCTTCTATCAGAATAGGTCATCTACCGCACGTCTATATCACTCGGGCGACCAGACGTCGCTGTCATCGTTATCGTCGCTGTCATTGCATTTCGCGAGGTGGAAGTCACGAAACGCCGCTCGCTCTCGGAACAAAATCGCCCCTCCCCGAGAACGACGACAGGGAAATGTAAATCTCTCCTTTTCTTACCTTCCTCCGATCGACCAGACTACCCCCAAAGTGAATATCTCACTCTCGGCGACGACGAAAACGAAAACGACGATCGATCGTATGCGCGCGTGTACGGGAAAATAGAACTATGAAAAATTCAGTCGCGTTTTGTCGGGGGAGGGGGACAAAACGGCGAGATAATAAGAAAGAGGCTAACACGATTAGCAAAGTTCGCGAGACGAGGGACCCTCGCGAATTTTCATAGTCAATTAATCACCGATGCGCACCCGCTCACTTTCCGTGGCCCCGAACTAATCATCCTCACCGCATGCTCGATCTCCAGCCGCCCCCTACTCGTGCAACGAGCAGGCCTGGTCGTTTTCGTCGCGTTCACGGAGGCCACCTCGAGCCTTGTACGGAGTGCTCTCTCTCTCTCTCTCTCTTTCTCTCACGACGGGGGCAATGTAATCGAGTTAACCCGCTGTCGGGGGGTTGGGGGCAGCCAAGGGGACAGGGTCGAAAGGGATCGCGGCGGAGGCTCCGGGGGACGCGGTGTGTGTGCTTTTGTACCGCGGGAATTAAATTAAAATCCATTTTCCACGGTGGGCGAGCTGACGCGCGCTGCGAATGTGCGACTCCGCCGCAATATACATACGTACACTCGCGTACATTCACATTCGGCGGGGGGGAGGGTGACTACGAGGCCGAGTAGAACGCCGCCACGCTTCGCCAGACAATTTCAATCGAATTTGCCCTTTAATTAAAACGTACGTTCGCAGCGCTGTTCGGCGTGTACGGTTGTATCACGCGGTCAGCCGCTGCTCGCTAGCGGCTCGTTCGCTCGCTCGCGGTCGAATCTCGCATGTCTCGGGCGAAACGGCAACGATTGCTCCGCAAACCGGAGGCGGCGGTGTCGGCGGCGGCAGCTGCGATCGAACACGTAGCAGCTGCCGCGCCGATGCGCGAATTTCCCGAATTCCACGGAATTCCGGCGACCGAAGGCCGTGCTCGCTCGTTCCCGGCGCGAGCCCCTGTTATTCTTGGTATTACCGAAAAGTCAAGGCTGATCGCTAATCACGTCACACCGCCGCGAGGCTCTAACGCCGTCCGCGATCCCGTCGATAGTCCTGGGATTGTATTAGGTCGGTCTATCAGGTTAATGCGTATTTACTACGCGACCCGCCCGCCTGCGATCGATTTCCGCCGGACGGACGGAAGAGTTACGTATTCGTTGTCGAGACGGTAACGAATTATCGCCGACGACGGTGGAGATTACGCTCGCGATTAATTTCAATCGGATTTCACCTCGATGAAGATCCCCGGAGTTGGATTACCTCGCGTCGGCGAATCGAAGGAGAAGCGTCCGAATTTCTCTCTTTTTTTCTTCTCGGCAAGAAGCAGCGGAGTCTCTCGCGCGGGAACGATAACGCGAGTCGCGAAAGTGCCGTAATCCTCGTTTAAACATTCAAGTGGAAATTGCAGCATTGTTATTCCGTGAAATATGTCGTGCGCGCGCGCGAGAGAGAGAGAGAGAGCGAGGCTCTGGGAGCGTAGTGTTTCCAGCAGGGTGCACCTACTACGGGGAGATAGATTACGTAAAAATGGATCCCTACGCTGAGGCAATATACGCCGCGGTATAAACTGTAATTCATCAGCAGCGGTTAGCGGCGGTTTACGCTTACGATACGGCATCCATTATTCATAACATTAAACATCCAATATTAACTAAACCCGCTGTTAAACGCGTGCAATTATTTCGACAATGCATGCGAAATAATATTATATTATGCACAAAATGTCAGAGTAGCGGGCGTTGCTGCAAATGTTAGCTGCGCAAATTTTTTAAATTATCGCGATTTTTACGGCATTCCCCTCGCCCCCCCCCCCCCCTTCCGGGACGATTAATGTCGAGGGTGCAGAAAAGATTAAAGAGTGCAAATTTGATGAAGTAATTCGCGTAAGTGAAATAAATGACGACGTTCATCCGGTGCGAATAAATGTTCGAAAAAGGTACGGCTTGTCTTTCGTCGCGCAACACTCGCGGATTAATCCGACCTGAAGGACGGGAAAAATTAAGAAGTTGCGCGAAAGAAGCTCGCGCGCGTAATCAAATTTTCACCGCGGAAAACCGACTATAAATTGAGAGAAGCTCTCCCTCTTTCTCTCTCCTCTTCGCTAAGGGAAAACTTAGGAGTGCCTTGTATCCGTTTCGCATTTACGCGAATCCGTTAGCAAGGTCCGCCGACAAAGTAAAGCGCGCAAGTGACGCTTGACCGTACCACGTGGTGGTTTTAAAATCGAACACCTCTGTATATTTTATTTATTTAATTATATCAAATACGCTGACACAACGCGCGCGCGACGCGCCCGAGGGTGTTTTCTTTTCACGCGCGAATTCCTCGCCGGTTCGTTGTTCATCAACGCGCTTTTGTTCGACTGCGCGCACACACACACACACACGTATGTAGAAAATCGCAAAGAGAACGAGGTGCGCACGCAACCGTCGGCTTTTCCACGCGCGCCGCTAATAGTTCTTTCGCTTATCACGACTTTAAATTAAAGGGGGAATCTAATTAACAAATTGAATCACACTCTATGGTTTTAAGGGAGAAAGAGAGCAGCGAAATGAAATCGAATTGCGGCTCCGGCGAAAGAGTCGAAAGCGATAGCGTGAAACGCAAGAGTGATCCTCAGGGTACGGCACTCGCAGAATTTCTCATCCACGTCGAGCTGTTAATTAATCGGTACGAACGTCGACCGGAGTCGACGTCCCGACATCTCTCCCAATCTCCCGACACGCCGGCAGTCACCGGTATATTAACATTTCACGATATATACATTTGATATGTACGGCAAATAAGCGGTTAACACCTCGCGAACTTTATTACTCCCTATCGGGACCCGTCATCAAGAAATACGCCCCGATCTAACCCAGTCACGACTGCCTCTTCGACCGACATTACTTTCCACATTAGCGACGCCGACTACGCTCCCGCGCGAAAATTCCCATTTAGAGCAATGTTATCCCCCCAGCCTGCGGTCCGTCTGGCATCCAAATGCGGCGCGACAGTCCGATTTGCGGTCTGTGTGTAACCGACCAAGTAAGAGTTATCGCGTGACGAGTTAACCGCTCTCTCGCGGTAAGCTCCGGGAGAATGAGCGAGCAAACGAGAGAGAGAGAGAGAGAGAAAGAAGCCAGGGGGTAAGAAAGGACCTGAGGGGGTTAACGAAGCGTTCTTCGTTCTCTCCTGACCGTTCAGCCAAGCGTGGCCGAGTCATTGACGAGCATCGAGCCATACCGCGCGTTCGACCGTTAAGCGCGGTCGATCCCTATATATTCGATATCACGAGGCGCGCCTTTGATACAGTTCAAGGTAATTCTTTCGTATAATCGTTCGCAAAATCGCAGCACACCCGCTCCTCTCTCTCCCTCTCTCGTTCTCCCTCTCCCATCTTTCCCTTCCTGTGTGGGTTCGCTGCTATCTTAACCTTTAACGGATGGCTGCGTTAACGTCGTTCAACGGTAACCCCGGTTCATCCCTTTCCCTTAGACGACGACGGGCAACCCGGGTCCGGAATGCTTCTATTTTTGCCAATGAGAAGAAAGAGAGAGAAAGTAGGCCGGAAAAAAAGAGACCGGTTGTCGAACGTTCGCGCTACACGACATCTGAAATGCGTCCCGACATTGGCCGTGTGCGGCGATTCTCGCGCGCAAATCGTCGGATATTATAATTATTGGATTTTACGCATTACTCTCCTCCCGTGGAAAGATGCTTTGAAAAGCGGATATCGCTTTTTTTTTTCACTTTTATAAAAAGAAGTGCGAACCGATGCCGCACAGATGGGAACGGTGCTCCGTTCTCCCGCGCGCCGAGCAGACACTTGAAAACCGGGAGAGACATTTACGGCACTTAGAGCTAAGCCTGGTTCAGTTGGCCGGGATTACCCGTTTCGACTCGGTCCGTATATTGTTCTCGGCTTTTTCGCGCAAAATATACCCGCGGAAATATAATTTACGTCCCCTACAATGATTTTAAGCTGCCCCTCCCTTCATGCCCTCTTCCCATGCTGACGTTCTCTTTCCCTACCGTTTTTGGAAAGGGTTTCGCATCGAAGCGAACTTCGTTACGGACACGGCAATCATGAAACAGAACGAAAATCTAACCCAGCATTACTATTTATTGCTTACAGCGAACATTTTGAGTGGCTGTTACAGCAACGTGCCATTGCAATTATACACGTTCCGGGGAAACTATGCCACGTAGCACGAACGGGACAACGATAAGCGGCACGATCGCGAAATTCGATTGTATTTCAAAAAGAAAAGCATTTCAAGAGGAGGAGGGGAGCCGTTCTTTGAAATCCCCAGGGTTTTCCTTACGGCCGACAATACCGCGATAGCATCGGCACTGTCGCGACTGTCTAATTGAAACGACGCGCATTGCTGAGCGTATTTGGCGCAGGTGCTCTCTCTCTCTCTCTCTCTCTTTCTCTCTCTTTCAAATAGCCGAGAGAGTACTCAGCTTTACAAAAAAGAAAAAAAAATCCGCCATTGAGGTCATGAGAGTCGATTTTACATATCGATGTACCGATAAAAATTGAAGAGTGTGAAAAATAATAGTTCTCCACGTGACACCGCGGGTCACGGTAAATCACACGATTGTGAATCGCAGCAACGCAAGGATTAATGTCGTTCTCGTGTATCGAGAACGTGCGGCGAAACCGATCTGTCAGGCTTTCGGGTATCAAGTTATCAAGCACTCGTAATGAATAACCACGGTTACCTTTGATCCTTTTGGTTCTAACGATTTCGTGTCAAAATCGCGCATCTGTTTCGCGCTGTATATATACGTTAAATACTTGAATTTTACACATGGTCTATAGAAGAAAGCTGACACTCCTCGATTCGTTGGGTCGCAACGACGTATCGACGTTAACAATAAAAGTATCGAGTTTGAAAAAAAAATGTTGGAAGCTTCTCAATTACGATCGCGCGCACGACGAAGACAGGTTTTATAACAACTTCGCTTGCCCCCGCGATACAATGTGTTCCATTTTTATTTCCTACTTCACGCGTAATCGTTCGCCATAACCGTAAACGCGATAAGCCGGCCGCTTCTTTTGTATGAGTTATGCCAGTAAACGTGGCACAATAGCGTGGCGCGCTTCTTAAGTTTGCTTTTATAATATACTTCCATAGAGGAGGAGGTTTTTCTCTCAACGATATATTCATACAAAAGACACGCTTCTTACGGCGCATCTACGGCGAAGAACAAAAAATAGCTCCGTCTTCGTGGGGTTGAAAAGAAATCAAGAATATTCTTTTATAAGCTACTTGTAGAGCGGAAGGATTAAGCGCGCAACGACGCAATAGACGTGGCTTTTCATTGGACTTACGGAACAGGGAAGAATTGTGAGAACGTGTGTGGATTAACTTGCATTTCGCTAGGTTTTTCGTATTTTTGTAACACTATGTAACAGAAACGCTCCCGTAAACGCGATCGAACTGTTTTTGCCCGCCTTCTTTGTTCATAAAGAAAAATACGACGCGACCGCGCGACCACAATCTACCGGTCGACATCACTCGTCCGACTTCATCGGAAAGGGCAACGATGAAGAGATCAATACAATTCGAGAGTTTCAACCGCATACACTTCGTTCGGAGGGATAAAAATACGATGAAAAGATTTTCGATGTGAAATAAAACTATGAAATTGCTCTTTCACCAAAAAACAATGTGTAAAAATATATGTGACGGAAATTATTTCGATCAAAATTATAAAATCTTTGCGTCGCCTCCCGAGTCGAAATTTTAGTTTTACGTTGATCCTGCAAATTCCGTCGAGTTTGGAGGATCAATAAAGAATCTTGAAATATATTGTCCTATCTGAATGCTGCAGTTACTTACTACCTTTGAAGAAGCTCGAAGGAGCACAGAATTCAAGAATTATTTAATATCCGATCATCTCACTTTATTTCTTACCAGAATTTAATCTGTATTCTTAGACTTTTCTCAGTCAAAAATATATTAATTATATAAACTGAGCGGTAAAAGTGGAGAATGTGAGATAAGAGAAGAATGAATAATCCAATAAAAGTTGGCGGGAAAATGTGTAAGTAGAAGAAACAACACATTTTAATCTCATCTCTTCCCACTTTGTTTTTTTATGTTTGAAGATTCAATGAGATTTTAATTTCTTAAAAGAACTAATTAGACACTTAAAGGAAAAGATAACAGTGATGTGCTAATAATGTTGTCTGTGTATTTACGAATAGATTTAAATTTAAATTCAGATTCCGTACAACACAAGGCCAAGCAGAAATAAAAAAGCATCGGCAGATGTAAACAAGATTGTATTAGCGGTCCAAGGAGCATTATTAAACGTAAAAAAGTCAGCTATTTCAAGATTTACATTATATCGCAAGGCTGGCATTCAAAGTTATAAATTATGCAGAACATCTTTCAAAACATAATTAATTACACAGATTCGTATTCATAGACTGGTTGGAATCAACGTGTCTTATATGAAATAATGTAACAAGCGCAGATACGAGGACGAGCAATCCGAAATCAATAAAGCTATAATGATTTGTCCAATGATGACTGACTACGAATGTCGGCCTAATTTCGACTCGGGTATTTCTCTCTACTCTCGATAAATTCGTCACGTGTCCGTTAAAAACGGAGATCTGCTGTACGGCAAATGATTTGACATATCTTGAAACGTATGATGTATCATTGCCGGTGTCTCCTGCGCCCTCCATCCTTCTCGATCCAGCATCCTGCTCCCGACTGCTCCGAGTACTTTGCCGTGACACTGACACTCGCGCAGATACGATTCGATCGGAGCACATGTTAATGAACGCGATATCGACGAGAGTCAGATTAAATAGTCCAAGAGCCGACGAAATATTTGAATCAATCGACGGGAACGATGAATAACACACACCGAGATGCACGTGCTCCGTGTCTGTGCGCCCCGCTCGTCGACCGAAGCGTAATGGAAACACTCGGGAAAGCGCGCGAGGGTATTTTCGACCTCCTTGAAGATCCGGAATATTTTAATTGTTGCGATCGGGATAATATTCAGTGATAAGCGGCGCGCCACTTTACGACCGATGAAAGGGCATAAGTTTACATTTCTTCTGGCCGTTATCTCGGCACTCTCGCGATACCACTGCCGAGCGTTAGTGACGTCATGTGCCAACGAGTTATGACTCCCGTCGAGCGATAAAAATATCTCGCCCACTTTTGAAACATATGCAGTCGGATTCTCGTCGACATCGCCGTAATTAACATGCGTTTCTCCGATTGACCTGTATCCAAATGAATATCCAGTGGTATTCGAAGCTCCGTAACGAAGCGGCCAGAAACACAATGCTGAATCAGGAAGGTAGAGCGGAAAAAACATGACGCACGGACGACGCATAGATGGATTTTCAATGCGATCTCAATTAAAACTCCCCGAGCTTTCTCGTAATGCCGTGTTGAGAATTTCAACTTTTCGATCGACGAGTTCGGTTTATGGTTTATTTAATACTTTAATTTGGTCGAGCGAGTTTAATCTTTCTCTCTCTCTCTCTCTCTTTCTCTCTGGAAATTACCCAGATGATTATCAATACAAAACGGCCGTTTCGCGCGCAACAAGCAAATCATACGCCTCATGAATTGGAAATAGGGACTGCCAAGCTCCATTGTTGCCCGTCAGTGTTAATGTGTGTCCGTCATGATTAATGCTTGCAGCCGGAAAATTGCATCGCGACGTACGAACCGCACGCGTACTGCGTCGTCTATTCTACGACCGATCGGACATCGGTGCGCGTCGCTGAGGAGGTCCTCCAGTCCTTGTGGCGAAGCGATCACGTGTCCGCGAGGGCGGTGATTCTCGTGGGGAACAAGATCGACCTGGTTCGCAGCCGACTGGTGTCGACCGAAGGTAACGCTTTTTTCCTCCCCCCTTTTCCCCTCACGCGTATAAGTGACGAATGTCTTGCGGAATTCGCCGCGACAACGTGAAAATTTTCGTTCGCGGGTAGTTCGCCTCGCAGGCGCTTATCTATTGGTCGTCGTCGGGGTGGCATTTAGCGCGAAACGCGAGATATAGGACGACGTAGATAACGTGAACGCGCGCGTAAACGCAGCATTCTCGCTCGTTTTCCATCTTTCCATCCCCGGTGACGCGGATTCTCCGAGAGCAACGGAGCGAGCGAAAGCTATTTAACCCCTGAGCGGACGCGCGGATATTGTATAGAACGCGCTACTGTTCCTGTACTCTTAAACGTGACTAGATTAATTGCATCTACCTCGTAATTACGTTTTTCCTCCCGCGTGATACCGCCTTCGACCGTCTTGTTACGTATCGTTGCGAGCTCGCGTGTAATTTACGTCCGCGCCAACGGCTTCGAAGTCACGTCGATAGAATCGTTTTACATCGCCTACTCGAAAACTGAAGCGACGAGGGCGGCGAGGTACCGCGAGGCTCTCACCTAATTTTCCGCGCTTTTAGTTTACCGATTAGAGGCAAATCGCGTTTGCGTTTTTATGCCGTCGGTCGTTTATTCGCGCGAGATTCTCCGTCTTAAGACGCTCCGAAGATGCCGCGCAGCGACTCCATCTGAAATTTCTCATAAAACTCGAAAAACACGGCTGAAACGTCCCTTGAATTTTAAACTCAAATCTAAATTAATCGCTGTTAGTTAAAAAAACAATCTAAAATCCGAAAGGTCGCGGCACTCTTCGAGCTTTATATGTGAAATATCAAATAACTATAACGTTTTTTGAGAGGAAAAGAGTTAAAGGGGTATTCTCATTTCGAACGTTTGGTTTGGTAAGTGATTTTAGGTTTCTCTTTTAATATTATAAAACTCACAATTTTAAAATTATGCATAAACATTTATCCACGCTTTAACTATATACAATAATTTCTACACATTATTATCTGCAATATTAATAAGATTATAAATAATTTGCAATGAGCACGAAAGATTGGTTGTTACGATTCCGAACGTTTGTAGGCTTCTGAAATCAAAAAAACGGCAGAAAAATTATTAAACGACATATATTTTGTGGCTATCGTGAATATCTCGCGGCGAAATCAATAGCTCGAATATTTCGATATTTTTAGGACTCCCAAACCTAAAAAAATAACTGACCAAACTCGATTTTACCTTTTATTAAATTCTACTGTTTTATAAATAATCATTTTTTATTTTCCATCGTAGTAGAGACGATAGCCACAGGTTTAATCATTTTTCCGCCGTTTTGGTTTCAGAAGCCTACAAACAACGTCCGGAATCGCGGCATGCAAAACTTTCAACGCTGCACGAAATTATGTGTAACTTTATTAATATTAAAAATAACAATGTATAGAGATTACTGCACATGGTCGAAATATAGATAAACATTTGTGCACTTTTCAAAAGATATCTTACAGTTTTTCGCAAAGAAGATTTCTAAAACATCACCTGCAGAACGACGTTTCAAATGAAAATATTCCCTGTAATCGCCTCCGTTTACAGAGGGCAAGTCCATGGCGACGTCTTACGACTGCAAATTCATCGAGACGTCCGTCGGCATCAATCATAACGTCGACGAGCTGCTGGTCGGCCTGCTGACGCAGATCCGCCTGAAGCTCGAGAACCCCGAGAGGACCAGAGACGTGTTCCGAAAGCGGTCGCGGAAGAACCGCAGCAAGTCGCCGCTCGGCTCGTGCTCGGAGAACAACTCGCCTAAGAAATACCGCGGCAGCCGGACCAGCACCAGTCTGAAGGTGCGCAATTTGCTCGACAAGGTGTGGGCGCGCGACAGCAAGTCCAAGAGTTGCGAGAACCTGCACGTGCTGTAAAGCGCATCGCCGCGCGATCGAGGATGTATCGATCCGTTTCGAGCTGGGCCGTCCGCAGGTCCGTTCCATCGAACGTCTTGCGCTTCGGAGTCTTCGGGGAATGAGCGACAGTGACTGTCGCTATAGCGCGCGCGGATCGTCGCCGGAGAAGAAGGCAGGTATCGACCGCTTCGAGTGTCCACCCGCGATTCTTCCGGCCGCGTTTCTCGACGTCGCGTGTCCCGTCGGCGGACTTTCCGGACGATATCTCGTCGCTCGCCGGCGAGGCCTACGCGTATGCGCGCGCTCAGAGTCGTCGATTTTCTCGGCGGGTTACTTTCCACTGTCGGCGGAGGGATTGAATTTGATTTCGCCGACGGTGGGGATGATCCCGCGTCTCAGCTCGCGGTCGTCGATTATTTTACGACCCGCGTGACTACTTTTCTATCGCACTTGGCGGCAGCAAGCGGCGCGTGAAAAGGGGACAAAAATCCGTCGGGTTGACGGGTTTCTCCCCGGCCGTTTTCTCGCGGCTCGATCGCGTTCCTTCGAACGAGCCGAACCTTTTGTAGCTCGTATAAATACCCGGGGCGAAGGGAGAAAGATGATAAAAACGCCCTTAATCCCGACGTTCCGCGAGGGTGCAATTTTTGTGATTACCGTAAAACGTAAATATAGGCCACGCGGAGGGGGGCAAGTCCAAGCGGTATCCCGTGCGTAAAGCAAAATGCCCGTGAGGTGAAGCGAGCCGGCAATCGGCGCGAAGATTGCCGAACTCGTTATCGCGCATAAGCGAAGACCATTATAGACCGCGAGAGACCAAGGGAATCGATCCTTATTGTTCCACTCGACGGATCGCCGTGAATAGTTACGTTCGCCGGCGCGTAAACGCGGCCGACAATAAGCGCCGCGCGAATTTCCCTTACGGAAAGCGAGTATACGACGCGAATTATTTCCATCCGCCGAATTTTCGCGCGTTTTTCATTTTACATTTCGAGATCTCGACGAGGATCGACTACCGGGAATCGATCTGCGAGCGTGCTGGATATCCTTTTCGGCTATTTCGACGGGGGGGGGGGGGGGATGTCCCGTGNGGGGGGGGGGGGGAGGATGTCCCGTGTAATTCCGGCATAGATATGACAAATATGGCGCGAAGGCCATTCTCTAACAGCCGTTGAAACAACGGCTATCCGATCTTTTCGGCCGACGATACGATATTCTGCGCGCAGGAACTGCGGGAAATGCCGACACACGCCGGGTAAGTAAAGTTTTCCTTGAACGACATGGAGGAGACAGGAGGAGAAACTTTTTGACACACACACACACACACACGCCAAGATCTTGATCTCTCTGAGAAAAATGGGAACATTTCGGATCGAACGCGCGGTGATCCGTATTATTGCCTCGCGTTCGCCGCTAAAGCGCGAGGCGCCACGCCGAACAATTACTCGTAAATTGTTTCTTGTAACGACACGCCCGGCATTCCAGGGCGTACACTCTATGAGGACCACTGCGCTAAAGCAATACGGTCGGTCAGTGATGGTAAAATGTCGCGACACTTATTGAAATTCTCACTCGAGTTTATTCTCGTTCATTATCCGCACAAAAGCATAACTTCGACAATTATTCGAGAGGCTCTTACCGCTCACTCTCTCTGTACGCCAGGAATTAGAGCCATTTATCTCGAAGGTATAATCCGAACGTGTTATATTCATCGCGAGCGAGGATGCTCGGCGGAATTTCCTCTCTCGGTCGCTCAAAAAGTAAGTTAAGGCGGGTCAGTTGTCCTAATAACGAACGGTGGGGAGTAGAGGGGCTGCTACGAAGCTCCTTCAATTTTTCTTCATCGACCCGGCAGCAGCCATTAAAGGGAAATTGAAGCTATCTCTGATCACAGAATTCAGGTCGTATCGGCATGTGTAAGATATAACGAATGCGATATTCCAGCCCGGAGCAAACCCGGAAAGATTTCGCTTCTAATAAAGGGAACATCCATAAATCGTGATCAGAGAGGATTACCGATGGACCCAACGATTAGCGTGAGTCGCTGCGCGTCAAACAGTTAAAAGCCCTTTAATCCTTCAGTAGTCAAGTGCGTGCTCCCCAAGTGCACGCGAGTGTCGGCCGAACACTCCGAATGAGAACTTCCCCGAGTCAGGTAGCGATTGTGTGTGAGCAGCCGCCTCACGCGTGTGTTTAGCCTCAATTGTAAATTTAATTATCACTTAATCTCAGCTTGAATTTTAACACGAGTTTAATTTACGATTCCGGGGAGTAAAGTATGTGCCACGCGCGCCGCGTATTTTCGTTCGCGCGCAGGAATATCAAGATCGCGTACACGTATCGCGAAATTGTCGATATACGCGCCGACCGATTCACATTCGGCCGCCGAAGATAATGCACGAACACGTTCAATTTTCCATGCACGCTTTTAGCGCTACGTCACGTTTCACGGCGCATGCATAATGCGAGAGAGTGAGTCGCGAAACGCCAAGAGCGCGCGGCAACCTTCTTCGGCCGGGAAGGTTAAACGACACGGCGTATATACGACGTGAAATATGTGTACGAGGTCGCGGGAAAGAGAGACAGAGATAAATGGGTCGCGCCACCAACCATGCCGATTGCCGTTCCCCTGAATTAAAGGGTCCCGATATCAGCGGCGAAACGCACACGATGACGCGATTCCCAGTGAGGAAACGGCGAATCGGATCGCCGCGAAAGGTCAGCCAGTGCGACAAGCAATTAATTTTCTAACGATCTCGCTGACATAATACACGGGAAAAGGCGTACGTCGCACCACTGGACACGAGCTATGGTCTCGAAAGATTGCGCGCCTTTTCCGATCGCGACGAGTCAGCCGGTAACTTTGATCGCGAATCGTACGATTCAAGAGACGAGTCGGCATTATGTAATTAAACAGCCACCGGAAAATTGCGTAACGAAGATAGCTGGCCCGTGACAATACCATGAGAAAGGTATTGGTTAATAACATCAAGAAGAAACTCGACGAATCTGTGTGAAATGTTGATATATGATTTATGACGTACAGTTTCGACAGTAGAGCAAGAGAATATCAATCAAACTTACGCAACGTTTAAAAACTCATTAAGAAATGATCGTTTTTCATCGCTCTGACGTATAATACTTTCCGCTGGGATCGTCTGTTTTGGACACATGTGTGAATATATCGTACGTATCGATAGACGCGCACGAATGTTTGAGAAATGATTGTGACGTCGAATTTCTCCGTATTTTTCGTATTTTTCGCATTTTCGCGTATTGCTTGCAGAAAAGAATCAAATGGGAATCCATATAGGAAATCTATGCGAAATCCCATGGTTTATCCTGGGGATTTGTGTGAAAAACCCAGAGCCTACGTAGGAATCCACGTGGATTACTATATGGACTTTTATTATGCTATATAGAATTTCTATGGATTCCCATGGGAATTCACCTGCAAATTTTCAACAAGGTAACCAAGACACATAAAAGAAAATGTAGCGTATATGATATTGCCAAATTTTTAATTAGCCGCCATATACTTCAACCGTAATCAGAAATTATGTACTTCACATATCAATTTCTGGTAAACTAGATGGTCAACGATTTTTTAATTTTCTTATGATATTTCTACTAGTCTTTTTTATTGTCTTTTCGTTTTTCATTAAAACTATAAAAGTAGTTTGGTTGTTACAATTAAAACCATGATATCGGAAGCCGTTTTCGTACCTGATACATGTAAATAATGCAAACTTTGACTTCAATTATCTCAGCTTCGGGTGATCAATCTTTTTTCTAATTTTACATTTTGTACATCGTGTCTCGATTAACATGCTGTTAAAATTTGAAAAGATTTCTAAGAAAATAATTTTATGGACCAATTACTTTAAGATCACGCGTTGGCTCTCTAGCGAATATAAACTCTCTAGCGAATAAAAGGAGGAAAAATCGTATCACTTTTCTCTTTTCTCTCGTGAAAATTTCCATTAATTCCCATTTTCTCTTTTTTGTCTCTGCACTCGAGGGAAAAATTTTCCTAGAGTGCATATAATTTATCTCCCTCTATCTATCTTTCTGTCATCTTTTTTTAATACGACCGCTGATATCTATAATTCAAATAAAGTGCGTGATACGCGACGCATCCTGCGTAAAGCGTGGCGTGGTTATTAATTCTTCTGTCTCGCGTCTCATGGCGAATCCTCTGGCGTCGTGCCTCCCGGTATTGCCCACTTCAATTAGTTAAATTAGAGTGAATGTGCGCGCTAAGGCGCGCCTATTCAACGAGCCTGCACTGATGCAGCTCGCCACGATATGTGCCCGCTGAAATTCTTGCAACTGCATGATTCATTTCGCGATCCCGGCTGTACGATCGCGGCTAAGCGCCCCACGTAACGTGCGTGCATGCATGTTGCGCCCTTCCGCGTTCTATGCGATACGTTGTTCTAAATCCGGTCCCTCTTTACCGCCGCCTACGTTGCCTCTTTTATTCCCCTCTCGCGTTTAGCTTTGATTCCGTACGCCTACGTGCGCTATCATCGACCGGCTCTCTTAAGTAAGGGTTCTCTCTCAAATAATTCATAAAAAAACGTTTGCGGTATACTCACAAGGGCGGAAAACGACCTCTGTGTCTTCAGACATGCTCGATGTTGCGGATTTACCGTAAGACAAATCGGACGGTGAGTCGCTCTAAGAAACACGATCCCTCGCATTTGGCTGTCCCTCTTCGAACGAAAGATAACTCAAATCGTTCTCGAAACGAGCAATACAAAACGGATGGATTCGTTGAGCGCGCGATCAGACGAAGCTGTGCCGAGCTCAGTGTTTTTTCATATTCTTCTTGACCTTTGGTGAGAATGTTTCATGCTGTAAGTGTATGTAAGACGCGATAATAAAGGACGCCTCTTTCCCTCTAAAAGCGTATAGAATTAACACGTTTACTGCCACGTCAGTCACCAGTGACTGACACTGAACTTTCCGTTCGGGCCGCGTCAGTCACCGGTGACTGACAGTATAAAGTACGATATAAAACTAGAAAAATTACATAGTTTAATAAGTAATTTCAAGATCGTATAATTAATATACTTAAATATTTCTTATCAAAAAATTTTAATGGATTTGGCCTGACGGAGATTTCCTCCGAAATGCGCGTGGCAGTTAACGTGTTAATTATATTGACGTTTTTCATGAAATACAAGCGTCCGTTTAAATCTTTAACGAAGACATTCTTTCACGGCAATTAAATCCAGTTGCGACCGCGGCAAATTATTACATATTTTCGCATCGTCGGGTGCGCGAAATAACAAAACTGCTAATTAACGTAACTGCGAGCACCTGGCCTGGTAAACTTTGCGATGCATCGGAAACGCTGGTTAATTCGCGGACGGAAGTTCACGGCAAAACCGCGAGAGAAAGAGAGAACAACGCGAGGAGAGAGGGAGAAAGCCTCAACGCGCATTCTCTCGCGAAAGGAAATTTTTCCCTAACAATTCGCGAAACGCCTCCTCGAATTTTCCGGGGGAAACGGAGGAAGCGGTGAAACGGAGATGCAGAGATTCTGTTCGGATTAAACTACGGCAAACGAACGGAAACTGTTATCATCGGCCGATACACAGTCCCTTTCGCGAGGGTGCAGAGCAAATCGGATGTTCGTGACGTGCAGTCGCGGGAAATTCGGCGAACTCTCGCTCGGATTTCCAGCGAGCTCCGTCGAAATCGGAATAGAAACAGTCGCGAGAGGAAGGAGCGCGCGACATTTCGAATACGTTGAGCGACGATATCTCGCCGCGAAAAAATACGCGCAAAACTGCAAAAAATTCCCGAGGGCGTGGACGATTTTCGATAACGTCCGCTGAACAAACGAATGACATCGCGTCGCGACATCACGAGTAAGATGAATTATTATGCGCGCGCCAAACTGTCTGTCCGACGTTCTCTCTCTCTCTCTCTCTCTCTCCGTAACTTCGCGACACGTCGCTGGCCAGAGGAGCAACCCCTTTCGGGCAAAACGCAATTGTTGCTCCACGACCGATGTATGTAATCGGAAATGATTACCGGAAAATTGTCGGCCGGTCG